AAACCATACCAAACACCATACAGCCTCCTGTTTTCAGTAAGTCATTTTTAATTCACCTAAAGAGTTCTTACAAATTAGTCTAAATTAAATCTCTTCCAGCACACCTTAAATTATATCCCAGATTCTTCTGATTGTTAATCAGGACTCTGAGGAAAAGGAGCCTCTGGAAGAGGCCTGATCCCTAAGACTACGAGGCAGGGGGACTGGGGAAGTAACCAAAAGACAAAGTATCCTGGATGGAGGGGGGGGGGGGGTGGAGCAGCACAGGAACAAGCCTAACATGGCTATTTTATCCCCAAAGCACAAGATCTTTAACCTGCTTGACCCCACAAGCCCTTATTTCTTCTCTTTGCCTTAAACCCTCAAAGCTGCCTTCTTGGAATGCCATTAGGGAGTTTGAGGGATGGTTTCATGAGGGAGAGGTGGGATGGACTGGCATGAGGAGACCGAGTACAGGTCTGGTAGAGTCCAGAAGGAATGAAGGGGGGCAAGAGAAATGAAAGGAGCAAGACTTCCAGGTCAGAGGAGAGAAAGCTGACTACATGGACTTTTGAGGTCCTCAGAAATAGCAGATGGGCGCCTGGGTGGCTCAGTTGGTTTAGCGTCTGACTTCAGCCCAGGTCATGATCTCACGGTTGGTGGGTTCGAGCCCCGCATTGGGGTCTGTGCTGACAGCTAGCTCAGAGTCTGGAGACTGCTTCCGATTCTGTGTCTCCCTCTCTCTCTGACCCTTTCCTGCTCACTTGCTCTCTCTCTCTCTCACTCAGAAATAAATTTAAAGAAAAAGAAAGAAAGAAAGAAAGAAAGAAAGAAAGAAAGAAAGAAAGAAAGAAAGAAATAGCAGATACACATGTAGCTTCTTGAAATCACTGTTCTCCAAATCTTTGGAGGATGACCAGGACTAGAAACCTTGGCCTTCAGCCAGTGGAAAGAGGGTAGACACCAAAAGTCTCGCTGAGGCAGTGGTGTGCCGGTGAGAAGGAGGGGAGTGGGGCCATCTAAAGGATGAGAGAGGCTTCTGGGTGGCTCAGTCAGTTAAGCACCCGACCCTTGACTTTGGCTCAGGTCATGATCTCATGGTTTGTGAGTTCGAGCCCCACACTGGGCTCTGCACTAACAGCACACAGCCTGCTTGGGATCCTGTGTCCCTCTCTCTCCACCCCTCTCCCACTTGCTCTCTATCTCTCTCTCTCAAAATAAATATTTTTAAAAAACTTTTAAAAAAATACAAATAAAAAATAAGTAAGGATGAGAGACTGCATAGCCCAGGACTATCTGAATTGCACTGGCATCAGTCACATCAATGCACTAATTAGGAGCTACAGAAAGGAAGAGATGTAAATCCAGGAAGAACCAGGAAAACAGGTAGAGATGGAAAGAATACAGCACATACACCTATTTCTGCGCACATGGACCCATGTGACAGGGACCGAATGACTAATGACAGCCTTCCCACACATCCAAGCCCTGGGTTGGAGCTGTTAAAGGAGGAAGTGCCAGATTGCCCCACAAGAGAGGCAGGAAGGAAGGTGAGCCAGAAGATAGGGGCAGGGACTAGAGACCCAAGGTTTTGTTTTATGACACAGAGAGATTTGGGAGCATTTGTCACATGGAATGAGACTTTGAAGACAGAGGTATAATTCACTTTTTAGGGAGTTTTGCTGAGTGTGATATGGTCTGATCTCCCCATTTATCACTAGTCCCTCAAGAAAACCTCCAGACAGGGCACCTGGGTGGTTCAGTTGGTTAAGCTTTCAACTCCTGATTTCAGTTCAGGTCATGATCTCACAGTTCATGAGTTCGAGCCCCATGTCGAGTTCTGTGCTGAGAATATGGAGCCTGCTTGAGATTCTCTCTCTCCCTGTCTCTCTGCCCATCTTGCTCACACTCATACTCTGTCTCCCCCACAAAATAAATTAACTTTAACAATTTTTTTTAAAAGAAGAAGAAAACCTCCAATAAAGATATAACTTCTCTTCATGGTTTTCAAAGCTGCATTTCCTATGCGGTGAGTGGTATGGAGGGGAGCCTCAGAGTTAGAGCCTGAATACAGACTCAGTTGTGTTCAGGTTATATATGTATGCAGACATAGACTCATGTCCTAACACTAAAGGAGTCTTGCTTGGAAATATCTTGATTTGTCGTCTAGAAACCCAACCATGTGTATAAAGCTGCTTTTATAATTCCTTCTAGGAACGGACTTAAGAACAAGTCCCAAGGGGCACCTGGGTGGTTCAGTCTGTTAAGCGTCCAACTTCATCTCTCAGGCCATGATCTCATGGTTCTTGAGTTTGAGCCCCATGTCGGGCTCTGTGCTGACAGCTCAGAGCCTTGAGCCTGCTTTGGATTCTGTGTCTTCCTCTCTCTCTGCCTCTCTCCCAGTCACACTCTGTCTCTCCGTCTCTCAAAAATAAATAAAAACTAAAAATTAAAAAAAGAAAAGAACAACTCCCAAGGCAGACATATCCTTTAGCCTTGCCTCTAATTCCACTCTGCCCCAGCCTATGTGTGTGCGTGTAAGTGTGGGTACAATATTTTATGAGGAGCAGACGCGCTGAACACGGAAAAACAGAAAACCACTGGTCTATCCCCATAGACCTACACAGACATAGGCAGCTAGCAGTGCCATAGAAACGTGTATTCAGCCAAAACAAGGGGAGGGAGGGAGTGATATGCAGACAGACAAGCTGAAGATGGAGGACAACTTTTCAGCTGCTCTTTCTGCTGGAATCTGTGGACACACAGGATTTCTTATCCCTCCATCATGCCCTCAAGGCCTTATCATGAAGCCTAGATGCTTCCTGATGACCATGATGATGGCAGAACAGAGATGCCCGCCTTCATCACACATGCACATATGTGCACGTGCACACGCACACACACAGTCATCCCACTGCCTCTCTGTTGCCCCTCTCCCAAAGGTGCCTTCCTTCCTCTCCTCTCAGCCCATTAAGGCAACCTTCAATGGCCACCTCTCTCTGGTCTGGCTCCCTCCACCCACGCTGGCACCTGCCTGGCAGCTCCCCACCCCCTCAGCCCTCAGGAGGCCAGGGCCTAGGGCCCGGGGCAGGGCACACGTGGAACAGGTTGATGCTGTTCTCCTGGAAGTAGAGCAGGAGAGGGGTGGGGTCACTGGGGCAGGCGGGGTCCCTGGAAGCCTACATCCTTGCCTCCAGAGCATAAAGCAGCAGCCCATCCCGGTGAGGGACAGTCACTCTCTCAACCTACAGACTGAGCCCCGGCTGCTGGACAGAACCTAGACCTGCTCTCTGGTAAGAGTTTGATGACAGCAGGAGGAGGGGGGAGGGGTTCTAGGGTTGAACAAGAATATAGGTGGGAAGAGAAGGGCCTAGGAGTCCCCTAGAGTCCCAGGGGGTAGGTGTATTCATAGGTCTTGGAGAGAGAAGAGAGGGGTGATCCTGTGAGCACCTGGCTGGTGAGGAGAAGACAGCACTCACCTGATTCCTTCCAAAAGGCATCTGGCCGGCCCCGGGAGGTTGGCCTGGCCTGGCCCAGCCTTTCCAGGAATGAGGAGTGAAAAAGGCATATTAGAGCCCATGCGGTGGGCAGGCAGGTCCCACACACCTGTGCGTGTGCCCCCTGCTTCCCTGACTCTGTGAGGGGCCCATGGGGGCTGTGACGTGGTTCCAGGCCAGCTGCTGTGTCCTCATCCACGGGGATAACCCGGCTGTGTCAGCTGGCCACCCAGCCAAAGCACCTAGACTTGAGCTTCAAGGACAGAAACCTAAGACTATGAACCTCAGGTTCTTACAGACCCCACATTCTCCAGGGCCCTCTCACCCCAGTATGTGCCTCCCAGGGCCACACTCATCCATTTCTTCATTCATTCTTTCCACACACATTTGCCAAGCTCCAGGTCTGCACCAGGTATGGCGCTTAGTGCTGATGCTACAGGGATGACTGAGACCCATTTCCTGCCCTCTGGGAGGCCACAGTCAAGTAGGCGAGTCAGGTGTGCATATCATAATAACATGACATTGCAGGTGTTTCAGAACAGCATGTACAAAGTGCTTTGGGGACACGGGATAGAGTCACCAGCTGCCTAAAGAGGAGTGAGAAGGGAGTCACCAAAGTGGTGACCCAAATTGAATCTTAAAGGATGAATAGGAATTCTTTAGATTGGGGGGGGGGTGTATTATAAGCAGAGGGAACAAAGGCAAATGGCTGAGTGGCACCTGGAGGAAAGTGGGTCTACTCACACCCAGGAACCAGGAGGTGGGCACAAGGGAAATACAGGGTACAGGGAAGTGTCCACTACCCAAAGAAAGGGCAACTGTGGCAGGTATATAGCATCTGCCTCCTCGGGCCTTCAGTACTGGTGGTGGCCGTCTTCCTCGCTGGCATCCCAGGTCCCCACTGTCACAGCTCTCTGGGGAAGATGAGGTGGGCACAGCTGAATGAGAGGAATTTTACTTGCATCAATAACGAAATGCTCCAGCCAAGTTCATCAAGAAAATGAATACAGGGTGATCAAAGAGCTCTTGACAAACATGGGGAAGGTCTGGCTTCTTTAAGCAGCCCTGTGACTTCGGGCAAGATGTCTCAGCTCTCGGGGCTGTGTTTCCTCATCATAAAGAGAAGACTCCTGGGGCGCCTGGGTGGCTTAGTCGGTTAAGCGTCCGACTTTCGCTTAGGTCATGATCTCGCGGTTCGTGGGTTCGAGCCCCGGGTCGGGCTCTGTGCCGACTGCCAGCTCAGAGCCTGGAGCCTGTTTCAGTCTGTGACTCCCTCTCTCTCTGACCCTCCTCTGCTCACACTGTCTCTCTCTCTCTCCCCTACAAATAAATAAAAAACATTAAAAAAAAAAAGAGAGAGAAGACTCCTGAAGTTCCTTCCAGCTCTGACATTCCTAGAATCCAGGCATCTTGAAGGTCCCCCCACATACACCCTGAGCCCCGTGATGTCTCTCTGCAGGGGTCTTCTAGTGCCCTGGTCTCCCAACTTGTCACTCTCCTGTCTCCCCTACCCCCACAGAGAAAATGACCATATTTGAAAATGTCACTCGGGCCCTGGCCAGACAACTAAACCCTAGAGGGGACCTGACACCCCTTGACAGCCTCATAGACTTCAAGCGCTTCCATCCCTTCTGCCTGGTGCTGAGGAAGAGGAAGAGCACACTCTTCTGGGGTGCCCGATATGTCCACACTGACTACACCCTCCTGGATGTGCTTGAACCTGGCAGCTCGCCTTCAGGTTAGTTCAGACACGGGGTCGAGTACAGAGGGGCCAGGCACTGGCTTATGAGGAGGAGCCCAGATCTCCCTCTGCCCGGATGTGGTTTGGTGTCGTGTTGCCCAAAGTTCTCCCAACAGGTAAGGGAAGAGGGATACTTCCCAGCCTGGCCCCTTTCATCTTCTCTCTCCTGCAGATCCAACAGACTCTGGGAATTTTAGCTTTAAGAATATGCTGGATGCCCGAGTAGAGGGAGAGGTGGACGTGCCAAAGACAGTCAAGGTGACGGGGACTGCAGGGCTGTCCAGGAACAGTACCCTGGAGGTCCAGACACTCAGTGTGGCTCCTAAGGCTCTGGACACCTTGCACGAGGAGAGGTGAGAGAGACAGGGCTGGAGGGCCACCAGGCTGGGGTGGATGGTGCACGGAAAGGGTGCTTTGGGCCTTGAGCTGAAGGGCAGGGCCTTCACATTGACCTTCACCTATGTGGTCACCACAGGAGAGCTCTTGAAAATGACCCTTCCAGCCCATCGATGCCTCCAGGCCATTAATTAACCACTCCCCCACCCTTCCACTACCTCCAGTACCACCCCCCACCACCACCACCCGCACATGAGGATGCGTATGGTCACATTGACTTGCTGCGTGATCTTGGAAAAGTCAAGTCACTTGTCCTCTCAGGAACCTCAGTTTTCTTTCCTGAAAAGTGATGCAGTTCGATAAAAGTCTTTAGGGCTCCTTCCTAAACGATGACTCTATAAAATACACTAAAAAAGGAAAGGGTCTTAACTGCTCCCTAGTGAAGCTTGGGCACAGCGTTCTGCTCCCATAAATCAAGCCATCTGCTCAGCCCCATCCATACACCAGGCTGCCCTCGGGAATGCTGCCCTAGCAGCACAAGGGGTGTGGCAGATGCCACATCGATGTGGTAGATCTGGGCACCTCAGATGCTTGGCTTGACAGGGAACTGACTTTTAAGTAGTTAAGTAGTGGTTGAAAAAAGGAGATGAGGACTGGGAAGGCAAGCAGAAAGTCACCCAGTAAATATTTATATATTTTTATAGTCTCACTGGGTGCAAAATACGTACTAGGTGCCAGGGTGCACTAGAACATCTTTGTCCAAGAACCTTGCAATCTAGGAGTGGGGGGGGAGGGGGATATACCACAGTTACTACAATCCAAGGCTACAAGTAGTAAGTGCCGCAGGAGGACTTTGCCTGAGTTTTGCGGCAGGCCAGAGGGACTTCTGGCTGGGAGAGATGAAGAAGGGCTTCACAGAGGAGGCAGCCCATGATCTAGGCCTTGAAGGCTGAGTAGAAATTGAACACGCAAGTCTGGGAGAAGGACATTACAAAGACACATGGGTGAGAAACCTCAGAACCTCTAGGGAGCATGAAGAGCTGGTTTGGTAGGAACAGAAAGGGTAAGAGTGGAGCAAGTGGGAAGTGGAAGGGAGGCCTAGACCATGGAGGACCCAGGCATCTGGTCAAAGAGGTGGAACTATTCTGCAGGCTTCAGGGAGACCCTGATGACGCCTTAATGTGTCATGATTAATCTGGCCACATGAAAGGAAATGTGTCAGCCAGAGGAAGGACAGGAATTGGAAGCAGGTAGATTGGGCAAGACACTGTCCCACTGTCCATCAGAGATGCAAAAATGAGGACCTTAACTGCGAAGAGCACTAAAAATAAAGAGGGAGGAACCATCGGGGCTGGGGGACCTCTGGGGTGACAGAACGGACTGGACTTGGCAGCCGACTGCAGGGTGAGGGAGAAGGTTTTGTCAAAGATGGAGATCCAGCGTACAGGCTGATGACGACAGTTCATAACTCTGTACCATACACTAGAAATTTCCCAAGAAGGTAGATTTCAGGTGCTCTCACTACACACACACACAAAATGGTAACTATGTGAGGTGACAGACATGTTAATTAGCTTGACTGCAGTAATCATTTCTCTATGTATATGTCCATCGAAACATGTTGTGGGGCGCCTGGCTGGCTCAGTCAGAAAAGCGTGCGGCTCTTGATCTTGGGGTTGTGGGCTCAAGACCCAATTGGGTGTAGAGATTACTAAAAAAAAAAAAAAAAAAAAAAAGCTTAAAAAATGTCATATATCTTAAATATATACAACTTTTATCAAAATAAATTATGAAATACATGAGAATTTAAGAAAAGATAACTCTAAGATCTGACCCAAGTGATGACATTGACAGAAACCAGAAGACTGACTTTAGAAGTGTATTTGGAGAGAAAGACTGAGTTTCTTTTGGACGTTTTGAGTTTGCGGGTCCAGTGAGACATTAGCTGAGTGGCCATGGTTAACGGCAGTGCATTGCATATGTTGTACATCTAAAACTAATATGATGTTATATGTCAATTATATGTCAGGTTTAAGAGAAAAAAAATGTTAAGTTTATTATTTTGAAAGAGACAGAGACAGCGTAAGTGGGGGAGGGGCAGAGAGAGAGGGAGGAGAATCCCAAGCAGGCTCCACACTGTCAGCACGGAGCCCCACACGGGGCTCGAACTCACGAAACCATGAGATCATGACCTGAGCCTATACCAAGAGTCAGATGCTCAACCGACTAGGCCATCCAGGTACCCCTAAAAGAAAAATTTTAAGGCAGTTAGAAAAGAGGGCTCCGAGCTCGGGAGAGAAGTCAAGGCGAAGACAGCCTGTGTGGTGTTGGGGGCAGGGGAACATGTTTGAGGGAGTTCAGACAGCAGAAAACTAAGAACAGAATCTTAGAGAATGTAAAATTTTAGGAAACCAAAGAAACTAGCACAGGAGATGTAGACAGAACAAATAGAGATTAGAAGCCAGAAGCTTGGGAGCAGAAGCAGTGGAGCACAGGGGACTGGAAGCCCTGAGACAGAGTCGCAGGGAGGCTTTGGCCAGCAGGGGTCAGTGTTGCGCAGAGTTAGGGAAGGTCTTTGACTCTGGTGGGTGGGAGGCCGTTGGGATTTCAGTCCAGGAGGAGAACTAGAAGCCAAACTATAAGATAATTTAGGAGTGGACAGGGAGGAAGTAAAGACAGTGTGTATGGGCGTAGCTTCCGGATCCTTGCCGATAAAGTGAAGGAAAGAAACAGAATTCTAAGTTGAGGGAGTAAAGATCAAAGCACACGTTTATGTAGGCAAGCAACCGGGTCAGAGGAACTGAGGTTAACAGCAGGGACAGGATGAGAGATGGGGACAAAGGACCCCAGGAGAGACGAACAGGGCTAAGGAAGGGGGGAGGGGAAGGCACCCCAAGGCAGAGGGCAAAGGGGGAAAGCGTGACCACGGGGCCCTGTTCTGGGCCAGAAGCTGTGCCAGATGATTTCCCAGTTTCCCCCTCAGCAACCCTGGAGGGAAGGATCATTATCCTTCTTTTATAGATGAGGCACCCAAGACTCCGAGTGGCTGGCCTGCTAGTAAGTGGGAGATCGGGTTTCTCGGTCTTACTCCAGAGTCCTCACCCTTTCCTTGACGCCACCCTGCCCAGCTCCTGGGAATGGCCGAAGGAAAGAGAAGCTCGTGGCACCTGCCTGGAGAGGTTCTGGCTGATTCCTTAATGCTTCTTCTGCCGCAGGAAGCTGTCAGCCGAGCACCCGTTCCTGAAGGAGATGCGAAGCCGAGGGGAGAACCTGTACGTGGTGATGGAGGTGGTGGAGACTGTGCAGGAAGTCACTCTAGAGAGAGCCGGCAAGGCGGAGGGCTGCTTCTCCCTCCCGTTCTTCGCCCCGTTGGGACTACAGGTTTGGCGCACGCACGCGCTCATGCACGCACGCAGACACGCACGCACGCACGCACTTATATTTAGCCTCTCCTCAGAGGCTGCGTTAACGCATTAACTTTGCCCACCCAGGATTCTAAAAATGACCCACTCCTTCTTGCTTTTCAAGATTCAGGGTCCTGTTGGGCAGACACAAATCCTCCCTGGCAAGGGTGCCCTGGGTGGGCAGATCCCTGTGCCAGATTCCACAGGGAAGGGGGAACTCATCGTCATGGGTTTTCCCTCACGGTGCTCCCAGTGTACAGGAGAGACGTCCTTGCTCTCAGAAGGTTCTCAGCCTCGTGAAGGAGACACACAGGTTACACGTCAGAGAACACAGGCTTGGAAAATTCGACCTAGGTAATGCTCTACATACCTAAATCTAGTTTGTATAAATATTCAAGGGATGAGTTGGAGCTGAGAGTAGGATTAGTCATGGAAGGCTCCCTGGAGGAGGGGAGCAGGAGGTACATGGCAAAGAGGAAGAAGGCACTGGGGCCTGTGGAAGAACTCAGGTAGGACAGAGATACACAGGCAGGTGACGGAGCAGGTCTGCCAAGTTCCTTCATGTGTCTGAACCAGGAAGAGAGAGAGAGATTGTTAGCGGGATGGTGCAAAAGGGTTTTGAAGCTCATTCCATGGAATCCAGACTGGTGGAAAGACAGTCTGGGACACCAGTAAAGGGTTTTCGACTTCTTATCTCCTCACTTACCCCTCCCCCACCCCATGTCTCAGAATCTCTGCAGGTTGATAAATCCTCATTGTCTGATCCTAGGGATCCATAAACCACAAGGAGGCCGTAACCATCCCCAAGGGCTGCATCCTGGCCTTTCGAGTGAGACAGCTGATGGTCAAAGGCAAAGATGAGTGGGGTGAGCAGACACTGGCATGTTCTCCCCTCAAGACAAGAATTACCCTCATTAGGGGCTCCTGGGTGGCTCAGTCTGTTAGCATCTGACTTCGGCTCAGGTCATGATCTCACGGTTTGTGGGTTCGAGCCCCGCGTCGGGCTCTATGCTGACAGTTAGCTCAGGGCCTGGAGGCCGCTTCAGATTCTGTGTCTCCCTCTCTCTCTGACCCTCCCCTCCTCATGCTGTCTCTCTCTCTCTCTCAGAAATAAATAAAAACATTAAAAAAATAAAAATATTTTAAAAAGAATTACCCTCATTAGTACTGAGGCATCCTGGTCCCGTCTTGTGGCAAGTCAGGGGATGCGTGCAGGAGTGTGTTGTATTGTGGCCCAGCTGCCGGGGACAGGACTTCAGAGGTTGCTCTGGAGAGAAAGTGAAGGAATCCCTGGGCTCTGAGCACCTCCTCTGTGTTAGGCACTGTGTTAGCTGGGGAAAGGTGGCACAGAGATGGACAAGCACAGCCTCTGCTCTCGAGGTCTGTGGCCAGTGGAGGAAATAGACACAGACCCCAGTACTAAGATACAAGACAGAAAATAGTGTTGTCATGAGATAGGATTTACAAAGGAAGAAAAGAGTTCTTCTAGCAGTAGAGATAGATCAGGGGATTAGGTGAGGCATTTGGGGACAGGGGCCTATCTAGCCCTTAGCAGAGCCCGTGGACTTGAGAATGGAGAAGGGAAGGTGGGTAGCTGTTAAGGGTCCTCCTCTTCTCCCCTCTCTTGCACCTCTGCAGATATTCCACATATCTACAGTGATAACATGCAAACCTTCCCTCCTGGAGGTAAGTGAAATTGCTACCTGGTTTCCCATATCTTCTGCCATACCCTGACATCCTCTTAATCCTGTGCCCTCTAATAGCATATACCAGTGTCCCCCAAGAAGCCCCTGGTTTTGTTTCCCAAATCCCCAAAAAGATCTATCCTCAACTTTAGGCAAGACAGATAGAAGCACATGAATATTGCCCTAGAAAGACAGAGAACCAGAAAGACAGAAACCGGAAGGCACCATTGGAAGCAGAAATGAGACTTGGAGACATGTGTGTTCCCAAATTGGGGTGGGGGGGGGGAGAAGAGGGGATTGAGCTAACATAAATCTCTGTGGGTTTTTATAATGATCACTGATAAAGCTGCCTTGACATCTGCTCTAGATAAAAAGGCACAGATAGGTTTTATGCTGACATATGTGCATTGTTTCTGTCTTCAGAAAAGCCAGAGGAGAAGTTCACCTGTAAGTGTTTCCTCTCATTTCACTGCAACTTTCTTGACACAGATTTTTAAAACTCCAATCTTTTTCTGACTGGCGGGGAACATGGCAGAGCAGGTCTCGGCAAACAACTGTCCCCAAAAGGTGGCAGAAATTCCAATACCTTAGGAAAAAGCTGTGGGAGGGGGAAGTCTTGGGGCAGGATACCCAGGTGGGCTGTTGTCTCAAGAGGGCCTATTAGCTATAACCTGTCCCACGCACATCTGCAACTCTGCCACCTAGCACCCAGGACGGGAGCCACTGAGTCACCAACTCCTGGATTGATTGAGTGATGCCAAGTCAATCCATCCAGGAGCCCCTTTTCACGTTGCACTAGCTTCTCTCCTGCCCCATTCCTGCCTCCCACAAATGGAGCAAGTGGAGCCTTAAGATGGCTGGGATATCCCAGGAGACAGGATAGATTTCCTAACCCCCATCAATGTTTCATTCCCTGGGCATGGCTACTTTTTTGGAGGAAGTACATTCTTGTCTTTTGTTTTTCCCCTCAGTTATCCTGGCATCCGATACTGGTAAGGAATTTTTTAAGTTTGTCTAAGACTTTGGTGTGGAGGCAGTGGGGTGGAGGAAGGGAAAGGCAGGTGCTGAGTCCCAGTTCCTGGTGATTGGAGCTACTTCCAGGAAGCCACTCTCCAGGACATATTCTTAGGATGCCAGGGCCCTGAAGGGTTAGGCCAAGATCCAAGCTAACCCTAATCTACCCACATCCATGGATATAGACCCATCCATGCTAGCCTTCACTCAGTCACCAAAGTCATTCTTTGTCGACTAAGAAGGGGAAATAGGCTTTCTTCTCAACTTTTAGCTGGAGTCTTGGAGAAAGGGAATTCAATTTTCTACTGCTGCAGAATGGGGCTTGAGAGCCCAGGCACAATCAGCTCCCACCTTAGAGATTAATGTGGGTCCTGGTCCACCTCCCCGCCCAGACCATTCCCACAACTCCTCAAATCAAGGCTAGTGGGAACTTCATAATCCCGTTTCTTGGTCAAGAAGAAAGAGAGGCCAGGCTCAGGCTGGGAGCAGAGTACAGGGGCTTGAGAGAGGCTGCGTGAAGGAGCCCTGGAGGCAGAATGCTGACTGAATGAGTGGGCTGCCAGATGGCACACGGTGTGTTTACCAAGTTTACTATCCCAATAGGGGAGGAACATGAGGACTTCAAGACACTAAAAGAAGAAGTTCAAAGAGAGATCCAAGAAGTGGAGAGGCTGAGCCGAGTAGGGCAAAGCTCCCTGCTCACCTCCCTCAGCAAACTTCTCGGGAAGAAAAAGGAGCTACAAGACTTGGAACTCACGGTGAGGTGGCAGAAGAAGGTTGCTGGTGGACATGTGTGTTAGCGTCACAACTACCAGGGGATCTGACACAACAGAAGGTGGTCAGTGGCCAGGGGAGTCCACAGTACATGATGTCTTCCTCGAGTGGGTGGATGTCCGGGTGCCCCCCGCCCCCCCCCCGACTGCCCAGCCGCCACTGCTCTCCTCGTTCCTCTGGAAAAGGGCAAACAGTGCAGATTCCCTCAAGGCACAACAGAGGGTAGGCAGCAGGCCAGCAGGCCCCTTTCTTGGAAAGAGGACTGGAATCTTTCCTTTCCAGAGTTCAAGCCTCAGAGACCAAGAAATCCAAGGAGTCTAGTACTTTTTAGGACTTGGTACCTTGATAAAGAAGCAAGGAAATGAGAGTTAACACATTTCCAGGGACCGTATGTGCCAGGCACTGTGCTTGGCCCCTTCCCTGTGTTACCTTACATAGTTGCCCACCTTTCCCCACAGCTTGAAGGGGCTCTAGACAAAGGACATGAAGTGACCTTGGAGGCACTCCCAAAAGATGTCGTTTTACCAAAGGAGGCTATGGGTGCCATCCTCTATTTCCTTGGAGCCCTAACAGGTAAGTGGAGAATAAGGTCTTCATTTAAATACCTTTTCAGTGATAGGAATGAATCACTGAATGAATTCCCAGATAAATGAATGAATGAATGAATGCCAGGCAAATTATACCACAGTTAAGTAGTGTATACCTACATTTAAGGAATTTGATTATAGGGGTGCCTTGATGGCTCAGTTGGTAGAGCATGCAACTCTTGATCTCAGGGTTGTGAGTTCAAGTCCCACATTGGGCATAGAGATTGATTTAATAAAATAAACTAATAAAAATTTTTTAAAAATGTGTTTGCCTTCCTAAAGCATCACTTGGGTACCGTGGATAGTCTGGGAAGGTGGCCTAGTCTTGCTAATAGAGGTTGGGAAGTAACCCTAGCTTTACCAGCCACATATTTAAATTTTCTGCATACAGCTAACCTCATCATTTTTCTATCGAAATTCGTTAGCTTTATTTGATTTTATTATTTATTTTGAGAGAGAGAAAGCGCAAGTGGGGGAGAAGGAGAGAGAGGGAGAGAAAGAGAATCCCAAGCTGGCTCTGCACTGTCAGTGGAGAGCTTGATGCAGGACTCCAACCCACGAACCGTGAGATCATGAGCTAAGCTGAAGTCGGTCACTTAATGGACTGAGCCACTCAGGCGCCCCAAAATTTGTTAGCTCTAATTTCAGAGACTAACATCTTCTGATCTTGCCCTGAATCCTCTTCCCTCTGCATGAAACATTGCCCTTTAGAAGAATTCTCTAGTCCTTCAGGAGTAAGCTGAAATGTTTGTCCCCTTAAAAAACCTGCCCTCAAATGCCAAGACCAAAATAGACCCCTTGTGTATTGCTCCATCGCTCCCCTAATACCCCGTATTATCACTGCACGTGGCTTTATCTTCGCTACGCTGCGGGTTCCCTGAGTGAAGGGCTATGACTTCTACCTGACACACCCAGCAAAGGTGCCTAGCATAGAGCAGCAAGCATTCAACCGCGGATAAATGTGTGGATTAACTAACGCTGATGTTCTGGAAGTGCACCCATTTAGAGTCTGCAGTCCCCTTCGTACCCACACCACACACATTTATGTCTCTGCTTTTTTTTTTTTTTTTTTCCCCTCCAGAGCTAAGTGAAGCCCAGCAGAAGCTTCTGGTAAAATCGATAGAGAAAAAGATCCTACCCATGCAGCTAAAGCTGGTGAGAAAAAAGAGCAGGTGCTGGAAAAAATTTGGGAGGAAGTCAGCTAGAACCAATGGAAGGACACAGACTGAGCCTAATGACTGGGCTCGAGGACCTCTGTCATATCACAGGGGCTCATGCCCACTGCTCATTTTTCTCTGTGTTCTCTCTCTCTCTCCTCACCTCTTTTTTTTTTTTTTTTTTTTTTTTTGCTATTTCACAACCAGAAGTAGAAGAGTAAATTTCTGTGCCGTTATCTGGGTTTTTCAGCTTGAAAAGTCAGAAAACTCTGGTTTTGCTTATTCACAGCCAAATGCTGTGGGCAAATCTCTTACGGTCTCTGAGTCTGTACAACAGGGCTAAAAAGAAAAGCGCTGCCCACTGTACAGGGCTGTTCAAAGGCCCACACGGGGTTGTGATGTAATGTAATGTAAGATAATGTAATGAAAGGAGTTATAATAAGAGAAAGGTAGTCCTTCTGCCAGCTCAGAGCCTGGAGCCTGTTTCAGACTGTGACTCCCTCTCTCTCTGACCCTCCCCTGCTCACACTGTCTTTCTCTCTCTCTCCTAGAAATAAATAAAATATTAAAAAAAAAATTAAAAAAAAAAAGAGAAAGGTAGTTCTCTCTGTGGTTATGAGTAAGGAGAAAGGAAGACAGGTTTCCAGCTCTTTCTTTTCATGCTATGTTGGTTCGTTGCAGGTGGAGAGCACAATGGAACAGAATTTCCTACAGGATAAAGAGGGGGTTTTCCCTCTGCAGCCTGACCTGCTCTCCTCCCTTGGGGAAGAGGAACTGACCCTCACAGAGGCCCTAGTGGGGCTGAGTGGCCTCGAAGTGCAGAGATCGGGCCCGCAGTACATGTGGGACCCAGACACCCTGCCCCGCCTGTGTGCCCTTTACGCTGGCCTCTCCCTCCTGCAGCTCCTGACCAAGGCTTCCTAACTTGCCTCTTCCACCTGCTTCCTGCTTCCCCAATGCCTTCCTACCTCATTGTGCTCAGAGCCACCAGGCTGAAGATGACAGAAAGCCTAGCTGATCACCTAAGATAAGCAATTTCCACTCATCGAGCTCTCTCTGTCCCCCCACCCCTGCAGTTCTGCAACCCATCTGCTGATGCTTGAATCTTCTACCAGTAGAAACTTCCAAACTTTTAAAACTATGAACCATTTCAGCAAAACCAAAACTAATTCATTTCCTATTCCAATGCTTCTGCTTCTGCTTCCAAAAATCAAGTTCTACTGGCATTAATGAAAAATATTATTTTACTTTGGATGAAATGTCTTTTGATGTTTTTCTTAACTTATGCCAGAGAAAAAAAATAGACATTATCACACTACATATAGATCATATATACATGAATGCTATTATACTGCCTGCAGGCCAGCTGGAAAATGCCCAGAGAACAACTGTGAGGGTGTAGAATGTGGAATCTAGGTTCTAAAGTGAGAAGATCATCAAAGCAGCTTGTCTTCAAAGAGGAGGTTTTAGGGTCCTCTGGAATCCAGGTGAGGGACTGGAACAGGCTTGTTCGTGGTACAAACCCAAAAACAAGAGTAGGACAACTTTCAAGTATATCTAAATAGAAAATACAGACGAGACCTCAAAAAAAAAAAAAAAAAAGTATCCAAGAGGAGCATCTGGGTGGCTCGGTTGGTTAAGTGTCCGACTTCGGCTCAGGTCATGATCTCGTGGCCCATGAGTCTGAGCCCTGCATCAGGCTCTGTGCTGACAGCTCAGAGCCTGGAGCCTGCTTCTGATTCTGTCTCCCTCTCTCTCTCTCTCTCTCTGCCCCTCCCCCACTCATGCTCTGTCTCTCAAAAATAAATAAATGTTAAAAAATTAAAACAGATTTTTTAAAAGTAGTACCAAGAATAAGACTGACCCATAACTTTTTAAAAAGAAATTGTGGTGTTATCTTATTTCACCTTTCTCTCTTCTGCCCTCAATTCAGGGTGGCTGTGGGAGGAAGTAATGTGGGCTTGCAATATGGACCTGCAAATATAGATACTACAATCTTAAATATAACTACTGGGTTCATACCATCCTCCTCTGCCTGAAGCTGGATTTTAACATCTTTCACCAATTTCTTTCAAAGTAGTTTTATGGGTGGAATAATCTCTCCAAGTTTTTTGGCCCCAGGAGTCAGACTCTCCCCTTCTTAGCCAACCCCTCCCCCGACTGGTTCCCTCACTCAACAAGAATTCATGATCAACTGCCAAACGCTTTGTGTTAAGCCATCCTCCCCCATTCTGGGGCATCTTCCAATGCCTCACTACATTGCTTAAAGACATCCTGAGTAATTATCTGCTGACTTGGTTGTTTTTCTCTTGTGATGTACACTTAATAAAGAGATGATCTAACACCCTAGCTATCCAGAAGGGTAACTTCTTAAGGATGAACAACAAAGCTTGTCTGTTTTCTTCCTTTATGCTTCTCACCCACCTGAGTTACAGATATGGTGTTATGAAGAAGAGGCTTTAATGAGTTTATTCCAGCGATGACTCAAAAGTTCTGTTATCCAGCCCGCAGCCCAAGGGGGCAGAGAGACAGTTAGGGAGGAATTGGTCAAGGCATGCTCCCTAAAACCAGACATGTTTTTCCATTTAGCTCAAGGAGCTATTTGCTGCAATAGTATGACAAGGGAGAGACAAAGAATATCCTTTCTACATATGAATATAAAGATTATGATTAAAACATATTCCCCTATAACCTTATAACAGAGCTAGATTGTTTTGTAGGGTCTGACCTGGTTTAAAATTCAGGGACTTCCCTGGGGCACCTGGGTGGCTCAGGCAGTTAAGCATCGGCTCAGGTCATGATCTCATGGTTTGTGGGTTCAACCTCTGTGTTGGGCTCTGTGCTGACAGCTTGCTCAGAGTCTGGAGCCTGTTTCAGATTCTATATCTCCCCCCTACCCCGACCCTCCCCTGCTCATTCTGTCCCTCTCTCTCTCTCAGAAATAAATAAAACATTTTAAAAAATTTAAAATTCAGGACTTCTCACAACTAACCTGTGGTTTTTATTATGGGGGGTGGGACATGGGTATGGGGTGGAGAGGCGGGCTTTATGTGAGCATGTGGATGATGGATCCTTTCTTAATGATTCTCCTCAATACGAGAAACACATAGAAGGAATCTAATATAATTCAGCTAAGGAAGGGAATCAACCAAGATCCTAGTAGACCATATATATAATCACAGTCTTAGTAGTCTGATCAGCAAGACTTTACTAGATGTAACCCCTACATTGAGGTAGGCTATATATTGAAAATCATTCAAATAGGCCTAAATTTGGAACAGAGACAGTCTTTTGTTGCTTTTAATGTTTCTTAGTACAGATTTTCAAAAGTAGTAACTGATTAGTTATTTGGATAATGTTATATTAAACCAGCTACTATACACAAACTATTACACATTTTATTGCAGATTTTTGCTCTGAGGGGTAGTTTTTAATTGTATTATTTGCAGAAAATCAGCACATAATAGATTAAAGAGCAAGTGGAAGGGACCAAAATATGGAAAGGAGCATCACACAAGTCATATTTGAAAGACAGCTTAGTCGATTATCCTCTAGTTCGGAACTTTTCATTGTGTAGCTGCTTTCCTCTTTGCAAATACTCTTTCACCACACAGTTGTCTAGGGTTGCCCAGGAAATCTAATTTCAGTACATTTATCCTAGGCTTCATGTAAGTTTTTAAAGGCTGGGGGAAATAGGTACTTATTTACTAATACATCTTTTTCAAACTAGATTTATGTGCAAAGTTAAACATGTAACTATTAATATACTTCTGTCACTCTGTTAAAAAAAATTTTTTTTTTCAGGACTTCCACCAAGAGAAGTGATACAAGTTCCAAGATAGGGAGTTCTTTTGGTTTGTTTTGTGTCTTAAGAAGTTGGAACCTGTGTCCTCCTCGTGCACAATCACTGGAAAATTCCTTTGAAAAATAAGTGGACAGGGTTTCTGACTCAATTTCCTTCCCCTGGGGATTCTTAGATTCTCTTTAGGTACACTATTATTCTGCTCTCCGTTTCACTGCAGTGTCTGGATGCAAACAGGCATCCCTGAAGACTGCCAAAAGGGGCTTCCACCTGCTTTCCTCCCGCCTCACAACACATGACAGAGGGGAGCTTCGAGCCGACTACATTCTAGGGCTGTTTTTTTATAACCTCGCCCTCGAACATGCTAGCCCTGGGCCTCACATAGAGTAGTCCCGTATATTTTATATTGGAGTGATTGTACACAAAGGCACTCTTCCCCCATCCGCCTTCCCAGGCCGCAGGGATTTTAGGCGTTACTTTCTGCACTAGCTAAAATCTGACAAGGAAGTCTGAATTCCATTGACTTCCTCCAACTCTCCAGTTCGGGGCTCACATATCTCTTTCGTAGCTTCTGCCCTCGCGCGGGATGCACTGGGCGGCGGTTGAGTACGAATCGAATCTCGATCACGACCCTAAACTGAGGGCAACTGAGCGACTGGAGGGCAAGAAGCCGCCTGGCAACTCAATGACGCCATCGCGCCCTGCGCTGCGATAGGCCCTACCCCACCTCACGTTGGTTTGGGTGCTCTTCGAGTCCGGTGTAACCCAGATTGGAGCCTGAGGGGACATCTCGTGGACGTGCACGGAAATGCACTCGAGAGGAACAAGAAAATCAACCCTCTGAAGCGCTCTAAAGAAAGCCCGGCAAACCCATACAGGCTCCTCCCCGTTCCTTCCTCGAAGATCCGCCTCCATCCTGCACCTCGGCTGTTGATTTCTTTCCCTTTTGTGGACTCGGCCTTCGGCCAGCCGGGCCTGGAGTTTCCCAGAAGGCCCAGCGCCGGGCAAGAGTTTGCAGCTGCTCCGTCATCGTGCGGCCCGTCGCGAGCCCGCGCTCGTGTGCAGGCCCGGCTCGGTTCTTGGTTTCTGGTGCGAGGATTCACGCGAACCTCCGGTCTCGGCCTCCGGACTAGGCCGCGACCCCGGGCACCATGAAACAGGAGGGCTCGGGGCGCCGCCGCGGCGCGGAAAAGGCAAAGCCGCCGCCGGGCGGTGGGGAACAAGACCCACCACCGCCCCCGACTCCCCAGGATGTGGAGATGAAAGAGGAAGCGGCCGCGGGTGCCGGGTCAGCGGGGGAGGCTGACGGCAAAACGGCGGCGGCGGCGGCTGAGCATTCCCAGCGAGAGCTGGACACCGTCACCTTGGAGGGTACGAGAGCCCGGGCCGGGGACTTGCCGTGGCCACGGATGACAGCGCCCGGGGGTTCCAGCCTACGCTCGGGAACCCCAGCGCAGCTTCCACCATCCCCGATTCCTTAGTGCCATCCCCAGTGCCCGCCCCTAGTACCCTGACACTTCCGACCCCAGTCCCTATAACTGAACCTTCGCTCCAGGTTCCGGACTCCTCCCTTCACACACAACTCCTCTTCCCCTGCCTGAGTTGCATCTAGAAGTAGATCTCACTGGGCCTGTAGACTCTCTCTTCTAGGTCTTCCCTGACCTACTCGGTTTACATGCACCGAACTGATTCTAACGCCCCCAGCATATGATTGATCCCAGTAGAAACCAGTGTTTGTATGTATGTGTGTAAAGGGGGTCAGAGTGACGCAGAATACTGGCCTTTGAATTTTAAGACTGTACAAAAGTTGTCTGTTGTTAGCTCTCTCTAGCAAATTTACGCAAGAGAAGCCTTTCTACTCACTATCTTGCTTGTTTCTGTAACGAAGGTTCCCCAGCAATCCTGTTGCACTTCTGCTCCCTTACTCCCGTTTCTAAAGAGTTTAAACACATTACAGACTTTTAAGATTTTAGGCGTCATCTTTGTTTGAGTTCCTAATACCTTCGACCTAAAGTATGTACCAATCCCTCCATGTCTTTTCTCCTAAGTGCTTGTTTCCAGTTTCTTACAGCCCTCTTGCGCCTCCAAATTCACATTTTTCTTAGAGATCCTGTCCACAGTTGAAGTGGGTAGAGTGAGAGCTTCCCACTGTGTGTGGTCCTGGTGCCATTTTATTTTCCCAGCTCTGGATCAATTGGATCCAGACTGTCCGTTGGGTTTTCTCTCTAATGATGAACACATAGTAAACCCTCTGTAACGTTAGGGGTTATCATTACTATGTCATTAATGGGACTCAGGCACCCTATGCTAAGTGTACAAAGGTGACTAAGGAACTACCAATGAAATGTATTCCCTTATTCCTGGACATTTTAGTTGTTGCCAGTTTTTTACTGTTATAAATAGCTTTGCAACAGTCATCTCTGTGACCAAGTTTTTAGTCTGCCTTTACGATGATTTCTTCAGTATCAATTCTAAATATGCCTCAGT